CTTATATCTGCTTCCGTACGATCCAGATTGAACCGGATCAACTACGTCGTCGAAGTTAGTTGAGAAGTTGACATTATTTTCATCGACAAGTTTCTCATTATTTTTTACAAAGTTTAACATAGATGGATGGATGATCACTACTCTCCTCATTTTAAAGCCCTTTCGATCCCACTTCTGATGTAGGAGGGCGTTATAAGAACAGGAGGGCCTTCATGGGAACTCATACTTTGAAAGGGATAAAGTACAGTCTATTCAATACGACACCAACTCAATCGAAACACTAGATATCACTATCACTTCGATACACAGCGATTCGTCACGAGCGCGGTGCGCGGGCGTCATCTCGCACGATACTCCATAATAAAGATGGCCGCCCTCGCTACCATCACAATGACGCTTCACTAGGCTAACCTCAGACAGCTAAAAGTCAACCTGACGTATGATTTTTGACGGATGCGCCGTCATATATTTAGAAAAATCTCTAATAAATAAATATAATCACAATACCTGCAATCTTACATTAAATAAATAAAACACCATAATATTACAAAACAAAATGGCATCCAATGGAAAGAAAGCACAGATAAATTACCAAATCAAACAAGCTGTTGGACACGTGGGGGCTGGTCACGTTGTACGCCACGAGGACTCGGCGAGTGACGTCACACGATAACGCGTCGGCGCTACTGTCGCGCTTACGATGTTATAGTTTTAGAACTATGTATTTCAAACAAATATATATAAATAATCTATTCAAGATCTGCTGTGATAGTTTGTTTAATGTTACTAAAAATAACAGTATAGTCTTGTAAAGTAAAATCGATATTATGTTATCAAGAAACGAGCTATAATTTTTATTCATATATACAATAATGCCCTTCGAAAGTGGGTCGAAGGTCACTTATATAAAAAATGTAATGTGACCTTTTTGTTTCTGGTGTACGTGATATCATAATTCGAAGCGTAAATACGAGTAACAGTCATTAACGGTAAGGTAATTGACATGAACCACACGTTTAACGCGTTTTTTATATAAAACAAACAATATAATAATTAAAACTTCAAGTCATTCTACTTTGCACATGTAGAAGTTTTTTTTATGTGTATATGATGCCTAGATAAAGTTTTCATACAAGATTAGTTAGTTTTAATCCGATATAGTATGTCCTCTAATCTACACGTGTAATGACACGGTTAGAAAGAACTGCACGGCCAAGGTCAAAGAAAGTAACATTTAACGCTCTTGAAAGTTTTAACTGCGTATTTACAAGTTAAACTATGAAGTACATATTTGCAAATAGAAACGTCCATTGAGTTCGATATTTTAAATATTATGAAATCTATTTTTAAAAAAATTAAGTGGCTGTCGGCGGTTAGTTAGTTAGTTAGTATTTTTGTATAAGATTTTAAATATTTATAATTTTGACGTCTCAAAAATATGTATTGCCAAAAACAATAATATTGACGAAACGGTAAAGATTGATCGTTTCCATATGAATAACTTTAGAAATTATTATTTATGAAAGAAAAGAAATTAAATCTACATCTTTAAAATCTATAATTCGTCGAATCTTTTTGAAACTTACGATAACAAAGCGAATTCAGTAGTAAGAATATTATTTTTGATACATAAATAAACTAAAACGACCTAAAATGTATGTGTATGTCTTAAAATAGTTTATAATATTTATTTTTATCCTGTTAACAGACGCACTAAGACATATAATCACCTGCTTCGTATAGACAAATAGCACGTAGTGGAAAATTTTTACATTGCGTAGTCCTTCACAAGATAAATGCATATTTGTGCCGGACATTCACTCATCAGACGAGACAACACAGCATTGAGAGATCTAATTATTGAATTTAACCCGAATGTCACGTATTTGCTTTAGTATTAATAACTACAAAATTAAATTACATAAGTATAAATTATATTTTTAAAAAACAGTGATTCACTAAGTCGCTATTATTGTACCGACGCTCCGGTCACGTTTTGCTCCATGCGCGAACACATATCTCCGTCCCTCTCGCACTAGCGAGCCGACACTATGTGCCTTTCATGTGGATACAATTTACGAGACAGTTTTCAAAAACAATCTACAGTTAAATTATTATCTCAAACTCACAGTGGAATCTTTAATTTCAAGGTTACATCCGAAGTAATAGCTTAGAGTTATATTAGATGATATGTTATCAAATTATTTGATAGGTTTATTCCAGAAAATGCGTTTGATTTGATAGTGGTGGTATTGAGACGTCCATGCGAGTGATGTGTTTGTGTGTGTGCGTGTCGTGGGTGTGTAGCGCGTGTGTGTGTGTGCGTGTCGTCGCCTGGTCACGTTCCGATGCCGGCGGCGCGTGCACGGAGCGCGCGTCACGTGTATGTTTTAGCGCGCTTTCGCCGCTATCTGTATGGTTTGTTCGAAATTCGATTATATCATGGCGTTGTAATTCCAAGTTATTATACATTTGTATTAACGTAAATGGTGTGTTACGTATCATTTAATATTAATGATTTCAGTTTACAGGTGCAGGAATTAAAATATGTATTGCGAGATTAAAATTCTACGAAGAATTAATGTTTATAAACGAAACGATGTAAAGTTTTTATTGCATTTACGTTGTTGTTTTTGAACGTCCATTACTTTTCACATTAATCATAAAATACATCAGAAATAATGGTTAACGATTTGTTTGTAATATTTATATGAACATGTTGTCTCTATTATTATTAATATTAAATGAATTCTTTAATATTTTTGTGTATTTAGCGAAGTAAATCAATGGGTCTTCTGAACTGATTTCTTATGTAGGGCAACAAACATGTGGAAATTTATAACAGAAACATCAAGGATTCTATTGAAATTCAGGAATGTAATAGATAATAAATAACCCTATCGAGCTTATGTTCGTATTTATAAAATTTTTGTCATAAAAATATAAAAAGAAATATTATAGTCTCCTAAAAGAAGAGCTAGTAAAACCAATAGATTACAAGAAAGAATAAATCATAAGATATATTACACATTAAAAACTCTTTGGAAATCAACCTTTTTACACATATTTGATTAACAATCGTGTTACTTCAATGGTGTTTGTATAAAAAAAACAATTGCATAGAATTATTTAACAATTCAAATAGATGACAAGTGACGTACGATAGTTGTCATCGGAATTTCACATTCCGTGAGCTACTAATACTACAGATATTTACATATACTACAGTTGTACAATACTTATATATAGAAACATTATTTGTTTTACAATTAATATATTATATTTTTCGCATTAAAACCTTTTTCGTAATTGCGAATAAATTTTTAAACAGGAAGTTATTTAAACGATTCCGTCACTACCGGGATTGTTCTGTCCAAGATGGCTTCCTATATGTATTCATAATCTGCGTTTGTCACTAAAATGAAGTGAATATTTTTAATTATTGAATTTATGTGTATGTTTAAATTAGATTCTGTTTTTATTATAATACCAATAAGTTCTTTTGTTTTAACTAATAAAAGATACTATTCTATGATATGTCTACGATTGATTATAGGATTTTCACTAGATGTCTTTTAAGTGACTATTTAATCAACATTTGAATATACATATATGTAAAAGATGATGAAAATAATCATCATTTTAAAGTTGATTTTAAATCCTTTATAATGAAATTATGAATAAAAATCGAGAGGAAGGCATAATCGGATTATTTTTACGATTTTTTGTAGTCTTATTTTTGGATGTAAGGATTAATTACATTTTTATTGATGTAAAACTTTATGAGGTATTTTTTCTTGCCAATTAATATATTCGACTGCTTTAAGCAAAAGTGGAATATATTTACTACCATGGAGATAGATAAATAATAAATACTATTAAAAACATTAAATAAAACTGTTTTTACTAACTTTATTTTGAAATACAGACTAAGAGTTTTTATAATTTCAACATATTAATAATTTTATATAATAAATATGACGTATGTATATTTTTTTTAAATCAAAAAGTGAGGTGTAACTTGTAAGTAAAATCCTAACAGCACGTCATTCATAAACGGAAGTCGCGTCGCGGCCGACATTTTAGTGAAAGTATATCAACAAAAATAACTTGGTTAAAACATTAACAAAGAAACTTAACCATTTCATACCAATATTATATAAAACAAAGTTAAAAATTCTTTACTATATATTTGAATGTTTTTTATGATATATATTATTCCGCTTATTCCGCTGGGCAGACCCTGGCTAAAGCTGGGAAATTACCAGGAAGAAGAAGAGTTTTATTTGTAAATCAAGTTTAATCACAAAACAATATGCTCTCAAGTATCAACAATGATACATTACAAAAACTTAAAAAGATTGTATCACGCTTTTTACTGGGTCTAAATATACACAAGAGTATTGACTCACATTCGATGTCACGTGCATGATCTCAAATTGTGATATTTATAAAGCATACGCTGGAAATTATCTAAATAAAACTTGTTTGTAATCTTTACGACCTTTTATTATATCTAGCAATGGATGAACTCTTATTTATATCCGAATTATGAGTTATATTAACAAATAATACGTTTAAATTGATCAAAACATGAAACTTTTATATTTAGAAGCAATATCAGCAACAGGTTTTTATAACGCCAGAAACATTCAATTTATCTCCATTTTTTTACTTATACACGTATTTATTTTCAATCTCAATCATTGTTATTAACTTACTAAGACAACAATAACCAATTCAAAGATACAGAAGCCACATTACGCATTAAAACTTTCGTCATCATGCCTAATAGAAAATCATCTACTAATTAAATACATATATATTTAATATTACTACAAAGGAGGTCGAGGTTAAACCGAATTATAATGTAGCATAAAATTATAAAAGAAATAAGGATTTCTTACATTAAATATAATAATTGTTGTGTTTAAAGCTTTACAGGTAACTGAAAAATACGTAGTATAATTCAGCCAATACTATGTACAAACGGGACTCACTTGTCATATTTGACGGCATGTCCATTCTCTTCCCAATAATGACGTGTTTCCATATTAAATTCTATACACAATATTCACTTAACCACGATCACATGTGAGTTGTATCACATTTTATCACAACACTATTTATGTTATGTTGTCTGTTTGCAATCCATTTTATGTATGTAATTATAATCGTAAAGCGCGCTACGTCCTACGCGTTTGACATCCGCGCTAGTTGTGTCCAGGGTTCTGTACGCCGGCCGGCTCTAAGTCATGTGACCAACCTGCGCCATCGTGTTGTGCTACAAATTCTTTCGCCTATCTGCTAACATGTATTTAATTAACATTTCTTTATATTGGGATTCGATGCCATTGGCCCAATTTACAACTTGTACATTCTTTTGTTACATTAAATTAGAGTAACGTTCTATATTTCAAATAAGATTCCATTGGAGAATTGGAAATTGCTACATGTTTGAACCACATAAATTTAGTTCTAATAAAAAAATAATCATCTACAATATATTACCTTAAGCTTAATTTCTTAACATATTGATTAACATAAATACTTTTGGGTTAGAATGTGATATTTTCGTTTACCTAATTACCAATGTATTATTCATAAACCATCGCATATACTAACTTGAAGATATAAATTTATACTAAGGTTACAGAAGCTGTCGTTACATTTGCCAACAATATGTGTTCTTATTTTAGACATACAGCTAAATAAGTGTTAAAAGCAAATAACAAGACACACTAAATCTTTATTGTAATAGTTGATTTCCTGTTTCGTTATTTCTAATAAATATTTCGAATTTTAACCTGCTGGGTATTATTACTCGCTAGTAAAAGGCATGTTTATACTTTATTTCATTTAAGATTACCATAATAAATAATCGAAGATAAAATGGACACCAACAAAGAATATTAATAATGGATTACATTTAAAACATATGATATGAATTTGACACATAATCTGTGCCATAAATAGTCAACATCCTCATAAATAATGTCTTTATTTTGAAGGATAACAAAGTTATAAAGGTGTGTGTAAATATAATTAAAAAAAAGTGAATTATTCCTAGTTTTCAACTCTATTTGTAACCTTGAGACATTTTTAATTCATAAAACTTCATGAATTCGATTATTTTCGCGTCTTTTTAACGTTAGACAACAGTCAAAACTACATTCTTTTCTTTATCTTAGCAACTGTTTTTACGTATCCAAATTCGTTTGCAATGAAAAATCTTATCATGAAATCGTAGACCAAAACGAATTGTGTAATTTTAATTTCATTTAATTTCGTTTTATAACATAAACTAGAAATTACAGTATCAAGTGTAATACGTACGAAACTATTTTTTTAATGTAAGATGTCTATAAGGCATAGCTTCCATACATACTTGCACAAGTTTTGGAATACTTGTATATTGTATAATTAGCTTTCCGCCCGCAGCTTCGCTCACGTGGAGTTCGATTATATCGCGTTTCCAAGAGAACCTTTCAAAAGTCTGGGATAAAAACTATCCTATGTTCTTTCTCAAGGTCTACTCTATCTCTGTACCAAATTTCATTAAAATCAGTTCAGTGGTTTAGGCATGAAAGCGTAACAGACAGACAGACAAACAGAGTTACTTCCGCATTTATAATATTAGTAGGGATAAAGCAGTTGACATAAGAAAAAGCATTTCTTGGTTTTTATTGCAAACAAAACTTAACGAGTCTGAAAAATTATTTTATATCCGATATCTGGCGTAACAAATCACAATTCACATTGCACTCCTCGTGTCTCGATGTTTTAAAAAAACAATCAGTATTAATCAGAGAGTAACAAGTCATATGATTTCGTACTATCAGAACTCAGACGCACGATTATAAAATATTTCATAATATATAAATATATTGTCATTGATATGTTATTCATATTTTATTGTATGTAGATTATTTATTTCGAAGAAATATCAACAAATCTTGGAATTGTGCTAATGGCGGTCCGAGTCGGTATTCGGTGCCATGGAAAACGTGTCGACCCACGCCCACACGACACAGATTAATAACTGACAGATGTGACATATACTTTTAACTATCAACATAAATTATATTAAAAATAATAATTATTACTTACTAAGGTAATTTTTAGTTTATGTTATAAAGTATAAATTTAACCAAATTAAATTTTGCATTATCCATATTTGTCTACGAATCCATGATATTTTTTTATTACAAACGAATTTGGATTCGAAAAAACAGTTGCTAAGATTAATAAAGGAATATCGTTTTAAATATTGTCTAACATGACAATAGATTAGAATGAATTAACTTGCAAATATAATTTATACAATGAATTCTATATATTCAGCGATTTATTATACTTACGATAAAATAGGTTAAATGTAGTAAATAAAAACATAGATTAATCAAATTATATACAGGTGCTGACGCTAGCTATCCAATGTTTCTCAAAACAAATAAAACACCTTTTATTCTTTGGCCCGTCCACGCTCGCGTACACGTGACCGTAGTTCCCCGCACTTTACGTAACGTGAATTAACGTTCACCGGTCGCGGATGTTTACATATTATTTCTTTAAATGCCACAAACTGAAAATCTAAAATTGGCATTTATTTGGTGCAAGTTCATGTTTTCATAAAATAAGTTTTTTGAAACAATCCCTACTAATATTATAAATGAGAAAGTAACTCTGTCTGTATATTACGCTTTCACGCCTAAACCACTGAACTGATTTTAATGAAATTTGGTACAGATATAGAGTAGACCTTGAGAAAGAACAGGATAGTTTTTATCCCAGACTTTTGAAAGGTTCTCTTGGAAACGCGATATAACCGAACTCCACGCGGACGAAGCTGCGGGCGGAGAGCTAGTTTAATATAATTTCTAATGATTCATTCATAGATCGCTCGTTTCGAATTGACTGATGCTGTTAGCTTTACTGGCTTTTACAGCTTCACCAAGAGGGGACATAGATTTTGATAATAAATATTTTTATGATTATAAATATTTAAATTATGCTCATGAACAGTCCAAAATTTTATATAAAATTTACGATTATATGCTATATGATACGAAATTGTAACATTTTTTTACATAACTTCTAAGTGAAAAGAAATTAACTGTCAATTTAGGCATTAGTATAAATTAAGGTCTTCTACTTTGGAATCGTCAAACATATATTGTAATTAATTATAAATCACTTGATGTTATCAAGTTATCTGATTTGGGAAACAAATATTTTTATTGACTAATAAAAATAAACAATTTTTATAGTGTTAATTTTAATGGATATTGGAATAAAGGTTAATTAGTTATAGTTATGTTAATTATTAGGTTTTTATTTTTCTGTATCGTTTTAAAACACTTATGCGGTCTTAAAATACAAAAACGAAACATATGTATATTTTTAAAATATAACTTTATCTAATAACTAATAAATTAGTCCAGATTCCAAATAGTTTCAGTGAAAAATGCAAGCGAAAGTCTTAGGTCGGCTTTTTAGTTTAGTGGGTCTATACAAGAACCTACGGTACTTAATGATGTGTGCCAAGGTTTTTGAACATAAAAAAAACTATTGACTACAACGAACTTTGACTCATAACATAAGTTTAAAGTTTGGTGTCAAGTTTCATTCAACTCATTAATGACCTCCATCAGTGCAAATGTCATGTAGACAGTAAAATTGAAATCAGACAAAGGAAATCGGTCATTACATTGCTATAAAAATGTAAATTGTAAGTTAAAAGTAATAGAAAAAATAAAAATATGATAATGATTCGTCAAGAGTGAGGTCACTATAAAAATGTAAGCACAGATAAAAAATAATAGTTTTGTATAGTCTGTAACATTTTCATTAGAATAAAGTAATACCTTAAACATTATAATTAAATACTACATACTTAGTAACCTTTATATTTATAATTACTTTAATAAAATTCAATTTTCATTTGTTTGACAGATAAGTTAAAAAATATATTCTTGTTCCTGAACGTCGCTTCATACCGTCAAACATTCAGGATTAGACAAGTAATTTTCACAAAAGGCGTATTTAATTTAACTTTTTCGGAAGTATTACTGTGGACTATTTACAAAAATGTTAGCTTTGATCAATCGTATCCTTGATTGGATTAAAAGCTTGTTTTGGAAGGAGGAGATGGAACTTACTCTGGTCGGCCTACAATATTCGGGGAAAACAACTTTTGTTAACGTCATTGCCGTATGTATTATCAAAAAAAATCCATTTTATATACCTAAGTACGTTTTGATTCAGCCACAAACAAGCCTAAACACAAAAGATACGTTATAATCTTTTTAAACAACATATGATTTTGTGATAATATCACTTAAACATTATATTCTACATAATAATTTACATAGTAATTTAATCCCTGCGTATTTATTACATTTAACAAAAGAATTTAATTCTGGAAGCCGATCTAAGTGAAACAAAAGAAACAATTTGTTTTCAAAAATAAGTCAAGATTCAAATAAAAATTCTAATAAGATTGTTTTATATCTGTACACCAATAAAAATCAATAATAACAGCAATTTCCAAATTTATTTTACCAAGAACAAAATCATACAAAGCATTTAACTGTAAAGTATAACAACATGAGTCATTCTCTACATGATGTTAATCTGATGAATAAAATATATTTATTAATAAATAAATATGTTTCACTTAATACATATTTTCCATTAATGAAATATTTACCTAAATTTATGAACTTTCGTTTAAAATGAGAAGACAAAGATATTATTTAACATTGATGTTAGACAAAAGTTAAATGTATTCAAATTTGTTATAGTGATCTAGCTAACATTGTATTAAAATAAGGCTCATTAAGAAAAATTCTTTGTGAATATTTTGCATTTTTTCCCTAAATTTCATTGTTAATGATCACTTTTAAAATCAATTATAATATATGTATATAAAGTCGAAACTACCAACTTTTTTGTCTATCAAACATATTAATATAAAAGTCTTTATTAGTACAAATTAGAATGACATAATTTTATAAAATTTGGGGGTAGATGAAAAATAACAAAACTTAGACACATTCTTGTATTCCCTGGATATAAATTAGTACCCACCAAAGTTCTTACTTCTTTGTCACTTGTAGTGACCTTAATAACTATTTATTGATTATTCCCTTTACACAACTTAGTTTAAGAAACACACTTGATGTTGGTTAAATCTATAAATATGGATTTCAAGTAATCAAAACTCGGGTTAAAATGCAAAGTTTGGTTAGTTAGAGAGAGGAACTTGGACAGTGGAGATGAATGTTTAATGTGTGTTAGATAATCTCTTAAACCTACACCTGGGTCGCAAGTCCCAGGCACTGTTGAAGCTCCTCTCACTACAACGATGGACCCGACACACGCATATGAATACATGGAATGCTACAAGGTTTTATCTCTTAGTGCAAGAAAAGTATTTTTGTATTGTATTCCTACTACTAGATACATCTTGATAACTAAATTTTGCTGTCTTTCATGTGTTTTATCATATAAAATATTATAATTAGTTTCTAACACAATTTTACTTAGTTCTGCACTATGAAGTATTTAACCTAATCAAAGAGGTTTGTTGTGATGACTAAAGAATGAGAAAATAATCAGTATTAAAGTTGGTTTAAGTTGAAAATAGGAAAAGCTGTGATTTTGATCATTATTCCACATATAAAAGTATTAGTTTTGCCCTCAACTTTGTCTGTAATCATTTAGGAACTTGTAATATATGTATGGAACTTGTAAATTGTAATATTGGACGAAATCTATTCAGATTTTATACCTGGAGACCATAAATAACCAGATATTGGAATTTATTTAGCAACTTTCTTTTTCTGTTGAAATGAATTAAACATTCTTTGTCTGTCTCCTGGTTCTAAGCTAACCCCGAACCAATTTTCAACCATTTTCAAAACAACTTTCTTTTATATGCATATATCAGATTTGCTGCAATTTTCTCTATACATTTTAAATGAAGTTGTTAACTCTGTATATGTTTTATTTTCAGTCGGGTCAATTCAGCGAAGACATGATACCAACCGTCGGCTTCAACATGAGAAAGATAACCAAAGGAAATGTTACTATTAAAGTAAGTATATATATATATATATATATATATATATTGTAGTATTCAATAAAACTATATTCAATTTGTCATGTATGTATTGTGCTGAGTAGTAAAGTGAATGAAAGTAACTAATATAATAAAGTAATCTACCTACATTATACTTGACATCATATTATTATTTTAACAAAACAAGCAAATGTGTAATACATAACAATATAATAAAAATTTAACTATGTTTGATGTCAACAGAAAATTATTGACGCTAATTCCTATATACTTTACACATACAAAGATTTTCAGTTTTCAAGTAACCAAAGTTAATAATGTAATATGCGAAAATTTATTAGTTAAAATACTTTAAATACTCTATTAATTATGACAATGTCAAATTAGAATAATATTGGTAACTTTTTGTTTTTAATTTTCTATGATTTTTTTAAAGATACGAAAAAAAATATCCTATTGTGTTACAATTGCTTTCATGTTATTTAAATTTTGTTTGTGCGTCTTCATTATATAGTAAACCAAAATATTTTAAAGTAATTTCGATATTGTTTCAATTATTTCTTGATCTAATAGAATTAACATACAAGATAAATTGTAAAATAAGTAATAAAAATCTGTATATTGGATTAATATCATAAGAACCTAATTAATATCATAGAATTCCTATAAGATTTGTAAAATAATGAATCAAAAATGATTAAGATATTTAAATATTATCATTAGTACAAAAAATAACAGTTTTAAATCTTTCTTAATTCTTTTACAAAATTTCATTTAATTTATTATAAAGTATTTTTCAAAATATTTGTTTCTACAATAGAAGGTATTACTTTAATTAAATTAACATTAATTGTATTGTAAAGAATAAAAATATATATAATTTCCTAATATCACTATCTCTGTAATATTATGAATGAATGATTGTTGTTTTAACTGAACGGTACATTATTAAGAGTATAAACAAAGGCAGTTATAGCTTAACAGGAATTATATTATTACTGAATGCAGCCTTTGTTACTTACAACAGAGGGATATTGAAATTTCTATCATATATATTGATAAATATATAAGATAAATCATTAATTTATATGTTTAAATTAATATTTTTACTAGTTGACCCGGTAAACGTTTTGCCAGATAAAAAATAGGGGTTGATGATAAAAAAAGTAAAAATTTATATCACGACATTATAAAAAAAATGAAAAAATGAAAACTAAAAATTTCATCAGAAAAAAAGGGTGAACAATCTTTACGACTAAGGGGTATGAAAAAAAGATATTGGCCGATTCTCAGACCTTCAATATGCTCATAAAATTTCATCAAAATGGTTCCAGCCGTTTCGGAGGAGTTCTCTGCGTAACACAATGACACGAAGATTTTATATATAAGATTGTATATTATTGTTAATTTAAAGTTTATTACAAGAAATATTTAAAAAAAAACAAGTCTATTGGTTTATTAGATTTTTTATTATTAACATTACATTTGTTGTTATTTCAGGTGTGGGATATCGGTGGCCAGCCACGTTTCCGTTCCATGTGGGAGAGGTACTGCAGAGGTGTGAACGCTATTGTGTAAGTCATTCACTGTTTCATATTAAATATACTTGGCTTTAATATATTATAGGCGGTACAGCCTAGCTGTGGTAAGTTGCTACAGCTCGAACATGGGCTGGCTCGACCGGGGAAGTACCACCCTCTCACAGAAGATCGGCGTGATGTAGTCTTATTCGGCTGCGTTTCATCCGATGAGTGAGAGAGCCGCTTGCCCTTTCCCTCTTCCCCCACCCTTTCCTACCCCTTTCCTTCCCCTCATTCCTAATCAGGGCTGGCAACATATCCGCAAACTTTGTTGCGGGTGTCTGCTCGGTTGCCCCCTTTCGTATAAAAAAGACTAATAATACTATTATAACAAATGGCTTAATATGAAAAAACTACACTGTGAGATGTTATATACAACAAAGAATAATTTAGTTCTATCAATAATTATTTGGAAACTGTATCTGTATGTAATGTATACACACAAGTATCCCGACTCTATAAAAAAACTATATTATTGTTTCTGGAAACATTAAATAAACAATTTCTATACATAGATAGATTAGAAAACAATTAATAATTTAGATAAAACTAATATTATTCACATATATGTACAACGCTACTTTATTTTTGTAAAAAACTACATACTCCCGACGTTTCGGCTACTTTTCGGCAACCGTGATGACGGGCAAATGACATGAAATAAAAGATCTAAAATTCAAATAAAAGATTAAAGTGAATTGCATTATAAGTTATTATATAATTAACTATTAACATAATACAAAAACATTTTTCGTAGAGTAAAGCTTAATTAAATAAAAATGAAGATTAAACAGGATTGTGTATTTAGTCGTCTATATACGACGTTGGCGAAATGTACACGAAAATATTTGTCGGATTAATCCGACCTTGGCGGTGAAAGGGTTGATTACTAATTTTCTTCTAAAACAGTCCCTTAATCAACCTGGAAAGATTAACTTTAACATATATTTATTTATGAGTATCATATTAAAATTGTACACATAGACTGTACCTACTCTAGAGCATTATTAATATAATTGTTTTATTGCTTCAGTTACATGGTTGATGCTGCTGATCCCGAGAAGATTGAGGCTTCCCGCAACGAGCTCCACAATCTGTTGGAGAAGCAACAGCTGACCGGCATACCTGTGCTTGTGTTGGGCAACAAACGGGACCTGCCACTCGCCCTGGACGAGCACGGGCTCATTGAACGGATGTAAGACACGCACACATACACATACTCACACACACTTGTACAAAGTCTTGTCATAGCACAATGCGGTATCAAGTACAAAGTTTTCATGTTGTAGAAATACACAATTTTTCAATAGTTATCATAAATATGTATATTATATGAGATTTCCACCTATATATTGACTCATCACGATATATCTGGAACCATAAGGCGTAGTGACTTGAAATTTGGTAGGATTATTCCTTTCGCCGAGTAGAGGTCAGGTATGAACGGATTTAACGAAATTCCACCAGCAAGGAGGGTTGCGGGGGGTTAACACTGGAAAATACGCTTTCACGCCTAAACCACTGAACTGATTTTAATGAAATTTGGTACAGAGATGGAGTTGACCTTGAGAAAGAACATGGGATAGTTTTTATTGCAGACTTTGGAGAGGTTTTCTTGGAAACGCGATATAACCGAATTCGACGTAGGCGAGCTGCGGGCGGAATGCTAGATATATATCTTATGTAACATTACAAAATAGTTATATGTACTTTGCCCGCCCTCAGATATGTCAAAATAATATATGACAAATTATATGTGATTTAAATATATTACAGGAATTTATCAGCCATTCAAGACCGTGAAATCTGCTGCTATTCCATATCCTGCAAAGAGAAAGACAACATCGATATAACTCTTCAATGGCTCATATCTCACAGTAAGTCGGGCTCCTCTCACTAATAGGGCTCACCGCCGGCCCGCAAGCACCACGCCCGCACTCCGAACAACGGCCCTAACCGCCAGTCATACTGTAAATTATTTTCTACTATACATTAAAACTTTAAATTCAATAGCATAGTATTTTGCATCTTTCCTAGCTATAAGCTGTTACTAGTAGCTAGAGCTATATAGATTATACAGCATTTAATTAATATGAAGTCAGCGGTTGTCTTGTTTAATGAGTGCGCGTAAATACATTTGTCGAAGCGTTTTGCACTTTGAATGGAATTGTTATAACGATTTCATTATAATTCGTCACCGCTTCAACGTGTTTCCGCATTGAATTACACTTCAACTTGACCGTCATGTAAATAGTACGCTCAAATAACATTATTCATGCGCAAAATATAAATGGCGACTTTGTCTGTAGTGTCTGAACTGTAATTCTTTGAGGAAGTAATCTAATATATTATGTTATAGTTATGTTTGATCTAGCTTGAGTCGGTGTGGCGTGTTTTGCTTCCACGAATGACTTGTTAGTGCCAAGTGTGTATCGCTTTATAATAATTTTTTAATGAATGCAAAATATTGCCACGAAAAAAATCCGACTTATAGCGACTGATAGATTATGTAAAGTATTCATATGGTAACACCGTCTTTCGGTCTCGTGAGGAATGTATACTGACAAATCAGTTTATCAATAAATGGCTCTCAAAGTTAAATTTAATAATGTTATGGATATTGTGTTACCATTACAAATATATCATGTATTGCATCCGCCGGTTGCAATATTAGGGACATATATATGTATGTACTATAGTGTGTCTAGATTCTTAATTGTTAGCATATATACATAATAAATATACTTCTCATATTGTTAGTTAAAATATAAGTTATAATGTATAGCGTGAGTATAATTTCGCTCTATATTAGTTGTACATAAACATGAAGAAAATTAAAAATTATATTATTTAATCACACTAAAGAATCATTTTGTTTATTTCTTTCCTTTTTTTTTTTTTGCTATATATCATTATATCTTTTCTGAATCTTGTATTGTTTTTTTATTAAACGTCAATGTCAAGTCATTTAATACGATTATTTTCGTATAACAGGTAAGATGAAATTTTTCACGTTCTGTACATAAACTACAAAGACATTAGAATGTAATGTTATGTTGTTCTGGTTGATAATTATTTATACAAAATGATAAATTGGCAATGGATTTAATACATGAAAGAAACTTTAATAATTAAATTAAATATTTAAACATTGTTCGTTTCATTTAAAACACTAGAAGATGACAATGTTTATTGTTTCTATGATCTGATTAGTATTTTGTGATCTTTCGATCAATTTTACATGTCTACAGCCTCTGGTTGAGTTTAAAATATCAACCTTATCTTTTAACTTGTGGTTTTCAATTAGTTGTCTGAATGACTGTCACAATTAACCGACGTTTGTCATCTATATTGAAAAAATATTGCTAATACAATTATAAGTACGCGTTCGACGCCTTAAGTAAGAGAATTTACTTAAAATTGCAAAAGAAACATTTTATTACTATTAAACCTAATAAAATTGATTAATAATTTGTCTATATTACTAAAATGTCATATTCGGCAACTTATTGAATGTCACTAAAAAGTTGAGGCTGTGTACAGATTAATATGTATTTTTATGTACCAAGACGTCAAAAATAGCGCGTAAATACAAAGTGGTATAGAAGAAATAGATAGTTCAGATTTATTTTGATAAAATTTAGAAATCTTTCAACGAAGCTAACCGTTAATAAATACATTTTTTTAAGCGCAATCTTCTTTGTTAATTAATTAAACTCTACTTGTGAATGGTATTACAAGCCATATCATTTTGACCTGTGTGTCGTTTTTTCTATGATGTCGATCGGCATCGCGTTGAGGAAATATTAAATTATGTTCTAGTATTGTGTTTTATTCTTAATATTTACCCCATCATGTATGTTAAGGGAGTAGCTGACAAATCTTCTATGATAAGTAAGTAACACTGCCATGAGTAAAATTACCTACTAAACCCACATTGTAACTGAATACTGTTTATATTAAAAGTAAGCAAGTCCTCAGCTCATTTTTCACCCTATCAAATTGAGACTCCAACCATTAAATAATTCATGACTTATGTTTTGTGCTCAAATTACAATGTGTCCCATTGATTATTATTTTTTCACACTCAAACAAATTTTAATGAATTTAATTATTTTGTTAAATTAAAAATATCTACTGAAACTAAGAGATACTTTTAATTTTGTTATATATGAATAACTACAAAACAATCATACTAAAATAATATGTGTAAAAACCTTCTTTTAAACAAATGAAAAATATGTCTAAATGGCCTATGGTACTATATTTTCCATAAAATAAATCTTTATTTGATATACATAGTAGCAAAATGTAAGAAATAAGTCAACTATCAATGTATAAGTCTTAATCATATTATGAATCCCGTCCATTATCCATGTTTTATTGTTAAAAACATTTTTAAGCTGACTTCAACAAAAGCAAAAAACTTAACAACATAAGAAATAACACATAAAGTTAATTTAGGAATAATTTAAAACTAAAATCTTTATACTATTATTGAACTTATTTGCAAACAAGTTTATACTTCATACCTATCAATAACTAATATACATATTAAAGATATCTTTGATTGAAGACTATTGAGATAAGTTCTTGTTGCAATATCTACTTAGATTAAATTATTAAACTAATCTATAGTAAAGTGGTCTGTACTGAAATAAGTGGACGCCGTGTTGTTTTTATTCTTCTGATATACTTTTCCCAGGAACAATAACTAACGTAATCAGTTAATACCTAATTGTTGTTATAAAAAGCTGTTTGACAAAACATCAAAAATAATTTTCTAGAGGTAAATCCGAATACAATGGACGTAATAAAAAATCATCATATTCGGAATATCCAAAACAAATTACAAATTAAGTACAATGCTAAAATTAGTTTGTTTTGAACAATTAATAAACTTACGCGATCTTAAACGGTTAAGTAGAGATTTAAGATTGCTAGGACAACTTTTATACGGCCCAATGATGTTTCTTTTATAATATAATATCATTGATACGGCCGGCTGATGTATTCTTAATTATTATCGTCGATAAGTTATCTTCACTTTGTGACATATTTCCAGGGATAGCCCCCTGCCTGTCGGGGAAGCTGGTGGGAGTGCGAAAGCGATCCCCCGCCCCGACACAAGGGCCGTCGTGGAACACCCTTGGGTTTTTAGTGGGTAGTGGCAACGAGTCCCACATACCCCGCTGTTTTCTAAAAACGGCGGGGATGCGTAAATGCATTTTCCCAAGGATAACAAAAAAAAAAAAAAAAAAAAAAAAAAGGGATAGCCCCTTCGGCCTCCGATGAAATTGTAACTTTGACATAAAATCTGCAAAGAGCAATTCAACAGTACAAACCATAGATAAATATTTCTATTCTCTACTAAGTATATTTTTAAATAAACTATAACAATTATAGTTCGATTAAACATAAATTGAACATAAAGTAAAATTTGAATAATATTCCAATTCCTTATATTAAATTATTCTTACAACATTTTTAGGGAACTAATTTTTATATAAATAACATTAATATAATATGGTTACAGTGAAACCATCGACCTATACTAATGGACATGCCTTAGAGATGAGAATTGTGGCACTCCGAAAGAAAGAGATGAAACGAAGTTTCGGTCTATCTTTATCTCTCTCAAAATAGTACCGTACTTAAGACGTTATGACTTATGAGCCCCTTCTGGATAATTTATACGCCGTGCTTGTCATGAAAACTGAGCGCCAATCATCTATGAGGAAAGAGATAGTGCTAGACCAAAAGCATAGACCATCTCTCTCACTCTTTTCAAAGCAAAAAATTACTACACGCGTACGGCACGTCCATTAGTATATGTCGATGAGTGAAACTTAGATAAGCTGATATCGTTTTTATGTTACAAAAATAAATAAAACAATGTTATAAAGTTTTATTATTTTTCGCTAAAATTGTCTCTGGTCTTACATATAAAATTTATTGTTTTGTAAACATCCATGTAAGGATCCATCAGGCGTTATAAAATAAAAAAGTTGTATATAATTATACATAATTAAATAAAATGGTCATAGTAAATGAAATTAGATAAATGTTATAGAAAATCTATTTCAAACATATTTTGTATAAAATGTTAAAAATATGTATTTGTTATTTGGTTATATAAACATTGGTTTAATTCTTCGATAAAGAAGAATTTATATTATACACACAAAAATTCTATCGTATTACATACATAAGAATTAAACTGGGGACTTTACCCGTTGGTGGTCCCATTGTTGCCAGTTGACGGAAACGGCTAGCTCGACAATAAGGTTTTTGTGTTTTTATACAAGTATATATGAATGAAAAGTAATTTTCTTAGTCAAATGTCTAATCTGACTAGGTTTTTATCAATTTTATATGTTATAAACTTGATATCGACGGAGAAAAATATTAACAAGATAATAACTTTTTTTTTGCAACTGGTAACTGATATATGTTCTATATATATAATTCAATTCACCAATCAACGTGCACTCAGTAATCAGCAATCAGCGTGTTAGTTACTTTGTTATTGCTATTTACATTACTGGTAAGAAAATATTGTTAAAAAAGCATTAACTTGTAGATTTATTTATAGAAATTATTAATTTTGTGGTGTAAACGAATCCAATATTGTTTTAAATTTCGTAAGTGTTGTGTTATTTGCATTTGAGTTGTTCTTTAGAAAGCTACTTTGATGTTTTTCAATGCACTTAAGATACTTAAATAATATTATATACCTTGCAATTACCAATTTCATATTGTATTTAAGGTATTTTATTGGAGAGACCTCTCATTTTTCAACAACATGAATCGTGGTCAAGACGAAAGAGAGGAAAGACGTGATAACGATTGGGGTACTTGGCTCAGGTACGGGGCGGCAGCATTGGGCGCTGGATTAGTAGCCGGCGGTGTTTACATAGCAGTGAAATCTAACAAAAAACAGGGTGAAAGTGATACAGCCGAAAGTAGTCAGGTCGGGAACAATAGTAACTTCATACCTAGCGCTCTTACGGACATCATACAAGGCATAACTAATATGAACAAGTGAGTTTTATGACTTCGATTGTTTTGACATATTTTCGTTTTGTTTATATTAAATGATATCTTTAGAAACGAGGACACCGTCTCGAGGCACTGTATACCCAGGGTACCATGCATCACCAACCTGAACTCCTTACTAGCTGACATTTACGTACGATACATCGCTATAAAACGGGAAGACTTTGACTTGCATTTCAGAGTGTTCTCCGAAATTTTTAAAACATTGCACGGTAATATGAAAGCCGTCGACAAATATTACGAGAGATACGCCAGCAATGTATGTGTTTACAATTTATGTATTTGTATTGATTACGTTCCGAAAGTCATAGTTAAATTATATTATATATTTCAGATCCAATTTGCTGGAAGTCATTATGATAATCTTCGTATTAAGAAACCCGATGAGTTCGATATGGATATAGTGATCGGGTTGCCCGTCAGTCTCCACGTGAACGGAGTCAACCCTGAGGATAGCGACATCGCGATCGAACAAAGATTCCCAGCATATGTGCAGCTGAAGGCTGGCACTCAGTATCAGAATATACTGATAAGAGACGGAGCAGACGCCGTCATCAACAGGGCGGCCCACAGTTGGATGGATGATAAGAAATACATCCTGCGCTCTAAATTCACGGACTGGTTTAAAGGTGTCGGGAATAAGGCGCTCAACTTGCTCCCACAGTATCAAAATAGACCGAGTGTCGTAGTAGACGGACGGAGGTACACGGTGAGGACGTCGACCTCAGGCCCGGCGTGGACTATCATCATGGAGGCGCCGGGCTTCCGCCTGGACGTGGATCTGGTGCCAGCCTTCAAGTTCCCGGAGGCTCGCTGGCCAGTCGGCAGACAGTACCGAGACATCCCTGTGGCCTGTCGCCGGGACTACTGGCTTGTTGTACCCAAACCCAACAAGAATGGTGACTGTGCTAACGATGAGCAGCGATCGTGGAGACTAGCACTCCATGACCAAGAGAAGCAGCTCATGCACAACACATACAACCTGAGGAATACTATAAGACTGGTCTGTTATCAGGATTTACTCTTATCACCCTTTGCTTCTCATGCATACATTTTATTATTGTTTTAAATAGGGATAATTTTTAAAAGTCATTCTATATTTGTAAAAATTTATTAATATATTTGTAACACTAATTTTTTTTTTAAAATAAGCTTATTTGTAACAATGTGTGACTTATATACCTATTATATGTTTCAGATAAAGAAATTCAGGGATGAACAAGGAATGAAAAAAATTGCCAGTTATTATATCAAGACACTTTTCTTCTGGGAAATACTTCAAGCAGACAAAGATTTCTGGAAAAAAAATGATGTTGCAACCCTTTTTGAGCACATGCTTCTAAAGTTCAAAATGGCTCTGGACAATGGAGAGATAAAATATTTCTGGAACGGAAACTATAATTTAATTGGACACATACATAACAATGTTCTTAAAGAATATTCTGTTAAAGTATCAAACCTGTTGGCCGTTATGAAAAGTGATTACAAGAGTGTCGCTAAGTATCTTCTAAGTAATACTGAGTACAATGAATACAAACACTTTTTATAAAAATATATCATATGTGTATTGACTAAAAGTGACTTATTAATTTTAAATATGCTAAATATTTTTATATTGCTTCTAAATATTTACATACATTTATATGACTTGATGAAAGTTTTAAAATAAACGATTTTATATAAAAATCAGTACACTTTTTATGCCTACCTTATTATATCCAGTTAAGCAATTCCCTAATTCTTTAAAATAGTTTAATCATGTTATTTTTAAGCTGTGTCATCTGTGTGACTGACACTGACGCTGTCTAGTAGACAATAACAAAAAGAATTTCGTTACTTAAAAAAATTCTATAACTAAAAAGTAGTATGATGAAATTGTAACTCATTTGCTACTCTGTTTTGTTATCCGGAACAAGTGATGAGCAGTCGTTCAGATTGGGTCCCCATAGCAGCGGGAGTTATTGTTGGTGCTGGTCTATTGGCGTTGTTGTACAGGTACTTTTCTGGCACGCCGGTGATGTACGCAAAATTTGGCAATCAAAACATTGGAGCCACGAAGTACTGCTGCACCTGTAATAGGGACGGGATCGACCTGGTAATTACAAGATACTATTTTGTATTTAGATTACTCTGAGAGTTATTTTGAATACAGTAAATAATTTAACGTTTAACTTGAAGCTACGTATATTATTTTAAATATTTTATTGTGACAACGGCTGTAATAAATTAGAGTATTTTTTTACACTTGTATCATCAAGGTATTTGTATACTATGTTTAACCCGACGCGACGCTTGACCTACGTTGTATCGTTTATAAGTAACTACGGTATTTTAAATTATGTGATATAATAAATCATTGCTAAAACTATTTTTCAAATATGTTCCTATATCTAATTTGAATCTTTCCATCGGATACAAACCGTATCCCGAATATACATAGAGACAAAAATATAAAAAGACATGAAAAAATTACGGAACTTATAAGAAAAATAGAGAGTGCTGTAATTCATATACTTTTTATTAACGATATTTTTTTTCGGATTCACCGATTTAGTAAAGGTTCAAGTGATGTCAGAAGTAAATATGGATCAAGATAATTTCGTTAAGCGATTATAGGTGTTCATTATAATTTATTCAAATGAACAAAAATTTAATTACGAGTATACATATGAATCAAAAAGGTACCTATTATTTTGGAGCGATTATTATCTTTAATTTAGATATATGTAGATTAGATAGGGTTGATGTCAGGCATGCGGCTTGTCGTAAAAACAATTAGCCAAAACTATCTACAACATGTAAGGCAGACCCTGGCTAAAGCTGGGAAATTGCCAGGTAGAAGAAGATATAGGTATTATAGATTAGAATATCATTGCTATTTTGCATGCCAGAACTATACAATAGGCTTCATAAACTTTTTTTTATCGCTTTTATTAAAAACAAACTATTTAAAACTAATTGAATAACTAAAATGCTTTACATTCAATAGAGCGATTACAGTGTTTAATCCAAAATTAAAACAAACGCTTTTAAGATATTAAACAAGAGTCGTTTTTTAAAATAATATATTTTTAGTTATATACATAATACCATATAGTTTTGGCAACGATTTTGTATAATATTATTTTTTATCTTTAAAGGAAATATTATGATATGGATTTTGCATAATCGGCCATTGCATCCGCAATGTATGATTTGTCAAATGGGCCCCTGTCTAACGCGCGTTAAACGCTCACCTCCACCGTCCAAGCTAAACTCTCTACCTAACACAATTTAATAAGAACCCACTAGGGATGTATTCGTTATTTCTGGACAGGCCCAAGTCTTTTAATAGGTTGAAGAGAAATTTAGTCGTTATACCTGTCCCTCTCACTTCCACCGCGTACATATTTACGAGTTACGACGAACCTGTTTGTAGTGGGCTCGTAATACTTATTGACCTTGATGGCACGGTCTTTAGAGGATGTTGGCTTCCTTAGGAACCGTAAGCTATATTAACACAACGCGTTTTAAAATTATTGAATCAATAAGTATGTCTGGTCTGGACGCCGGAGCATAAATATCCTCAAGGATTTTGTATTGTTTCTCATAATAACTCAATGTAATTTGTAAGCACTTTTAGTGCATTTGACAACATTTAATATCTTAGATTTTTCCTCTCATAAATAGTTGCCACTAGAATGACTGTAAGATTCATTATGAAGCACCCAACGCTTTTAATAACTTAAATTTAATTATAATTTTATTGTGTGGCGATTAACTAATTGTTTAACCTTCGACTACTGCAATATAATTTCTTTGTAATTCAAAATTATTTTATATTTCGGTTAGCTATAAAAGCGCGTTTTTGGAACTGTTATTTATTTTTAACTTTTGAGTTCAATTAAATTAAAAAGCGAAATAGTAAGCCAAACTGCAGAGGGGCCGTTCAAGTATTACATATGCACTATGGAGGGGCGGGGAGTCTTTGCTTTGCTTACTTTTGCTGACAAGGGGGATTGGGAGTAAATAATTGTAATAAATCTGCTTACGTAATACTTGAACGGCCCCAGGCCGCTCTAGTTCTATCTGTCTCACTCCACTACAGAGGTTCTATAAAAGAATTCATTAATCCTGGCGGTCCTAATAAGTAATAAGGATAATGGTAAACTGTTGTCAAATTTTCATCGGTCCTTGATACGTATGTAAAGTTTTAAATTATTCAGACTTATAGAAACTGGTGAAAATTAAGCTCAAAGATTCAAGCCCATACACACAAGCTAACCTGATACAAAAATCTGTTAAAAATTGAAAGTTGCTTCTAAAAGCTATTATGTTAAAAATGTGCATGTATTGTGATTATGGATGCGATAAAGTTTTTTATATACATTAATTTTCAAATTAGTTTTTAATTAATCAATAAGTCAAAATATTTAATTCAACTCACAGATTTCGATCCATTGTTGTTCTCTTAAGGAATGATAGATAAACCATTCATGATTTTAAAGGAAACATTTATATTGTGTATCTATCTGGCGGCGGCACGGAAACGCATACTGTTCTCCAAATTAGCGGGCAGCGGGCACCGCTGTATTCAAGGGTCGGTCCATTTGATTATACGCGTAAGATCCTGCCGCTCCCGCTGCCGCTCCGCTGCCCGCAAAATTCGAGGTCGAGGCCTTAAACAGATAACAGATAATGAATTCTTAAAGTATAAACGGGGATTCCCCACTAGTAGCCGTATGAATACTATATTAGATTACGAATACTTAAATTATAAACGGGGACTCCCCGCCAATAGCATTAAATGTTTCGTCTCTGTTTTAATAAAAAATATTCAACAATAAATTCACTGTGTTTTAAGACAACAAGAATATAAGATTTAAATTGTACCATCTTTAGACATCCATTAGCTACAATCTATTACAAGTATACAATTATACATGTCAATGTAAACCTAATTATTCTTGTTACTTGTTAAAAGAAATCAGCGAATTATACTTTATTAAACGGTTTTTTTGCATAAATTCACTCGTTTCAATTATTTAATGAAATTAGAAGATACTTTTATTTTATTAACATTTAGATAACTCGCGTTATCTCACAAGTTTAGTAACTGACTTTATAAGAATTTTGTGTCTGTTTTTTTGATTGAAGTATGTGTTTTAATGTCAATAGCAAATCGCAAAATATGTATTATAATAACCTTATCGGCGCGGCGGTGGCAAAGATAATTAACTACTTTGTTATTTTTATGCATAGTTAGTAAAACTTTTTTTTATATAGAAAATTTGGGCTACTTAATGGGAGTTATTATATTATTAGAAATAACTAATAAGTATTTAATTGTTTTAGCGGAAATTTTTGGTTTATAAAATATTATGGCATGTTTTCGAATAAGATGTTCAATTTCTGACATAGACAATTCGGGTGCCAATGACTCATTTGTCAAAATAATGTGTATTAGTTTATTCTCATTGTTCTTTCGCGAACTTATTTTTTTAAATATGTAAATCATATTTCTAAGCACTCATGTGTGTGAAGCTGTTGGCAATAATTATTCGTATTCGTCTAAAAATTAATTTATGTAACTAGTTCCGTTTTATAAAACAAATATCATCGGTTATCCCACTTCCTCTGTTAACCCCATTATCACAGCTCACTCATGTTAATTTATAAACATTATTCTAAATTAATCAACTTAGAATTCCCACTCAACTGTTCGTATCAAATGACTCAGTACACAGATTTCTATTTCTCGATGTCTTTAATCTAAGTCTAGAAGAATAAAAAATCTTTTATCTAATAAAATTCTCTTATTTTAGTTTCACATTACCCTGAAAAGGCTAGGCCTTTTTTATTACATTTTATTTTAAATAGGTTTTTGTTTGCGACTTCGTCTTGAGTATTTTTGCTTGAAAGAAATGGTAATATATTGTTGCTAAAAAGAAATAGGTAACAAATAGGATATGTGAACCAATCGTCAGCGACATCTATCGTCTTTCCATGACTTCATACTACAAAATGTGTTGCTTAGCTCATGTAGTATAATAGTCAGTGGCGGGGCAAGAACTAAATTTGATGTGGGCAAGACAGATTTCGCGAGGCCCTGTTCTATGGCAACCTGAACCTGCTAGTTTTAAAAACTTTTACCCTTAAAGCTTTGGTTTCCTTCAAAAGATATTATAAAGCGTATTTTATATTCAAGTAATTACTGCGTTACATACTTATTATCAATTTAATATTTCTTACTTTATGTATGTACCGGTGTAGGTATTACAAATCACAAAGAATGCAAAAACAAAAAACGTCACTGTTTTCAGGAGCAAGCAATGTACTTAAACACTATGTATTTATTCGCTAAATATTATTAAAACGTTGAACACACTATTCTTATCAAAATAGGTAGGTACAGTCATAAAAATAAACAATATTGAATAACTATTAAATTATGCGTTTCTTTTGGTATGTGCCTAGCGACTGCGTTGCGTACTTTGATTGGTTGGCTCCCAAGTAAAGAATGTAAGCAAATGAAACCAGGGATTCCCCGCACTCTAGTCGACGGCAAATGTTGCCAGTCTAAGAAAATACGTTTTAAAACAAGATTTATTTATAAATATATTTTTTGAATCTCCCTTTAAAATTTTTTGAGCCCCGAGGCCCCTTGTACCGCGAGGCCGTAAGCGGTGGCCCACGTCGCCCACGCCTTACGCCGCCACTGATAATAGTTTTAATACATAGTTTATAATTTATATAATATAATAGACTTAATTTTCAATTGTAAGTTTATTATACAGTTCCATCAAGATCCGTTCAGTGTATCTTGAAAGAGCAATAATGAATCATACACATTCGAAAACCTTTCACATTTATTATAGTAAGTAGTATATTTTAATATGAGGCGTCACAATAAATAGTAATACATTTTTCATACTACTAAATGATTAGAGGCGTAAGTCATAAGCATTTCTATTGTTTTGTTTTTATTTTTAAAAATATGGTTATAAACAAATGCGGTAGCCGAAGTTTTCATCTTGTCACCTTTTCACCAAGGCCTATTTATAACATCATTACAATATACATATTATGATCCTGTAAGTAGACAGTTCAACTATAATTAAAGCAGTTGCTCCCGACATGTGTCCTTTTTTATTTACTAGCTTTCCGCCCGCAGCTTCGCCCGCGTGGAGTTCGGTTATATCGCGTTTCCAAGAGAACCTTTCAAAAGTCTGGGATAAAAACTATCCTATGTTCTTTCTCAAGGTCAACTTTATATCTGTACCAAATATCATTAAAATCTGTTCAGTGGTTTAGTCGTGAAAGCGTAACAGACAGACAGAGGTACTTTCGCATTTATAATATTAGTAGGGATTTCTCCCTAAAATAAATTTGGATGTAAATGAAATCGCGGATGGGAACTGGTGGAATATATAATTCAATAAGTTCACAATATTATATAGGTATAATTTTTTTTCTCTTTGTGTAAGCAACGTTTAAAAAAATGGATTAACAATGTCGTAATTTTTAAATCGTGACTAATATAATTGTTAATATGCATTATTAAATTAAATTATTACGATTTTAAAGCCTTATTAAATCAACTTATTTTCAGTGTCGTTTACATGGAAAAAATAAAACATAGATCCAGAAGAAGAAAAACTGTCAATTGTCATCAAACCAAATTAAAATATAGCAAAATAAATTTTGATGACAATAAAGATGTAATCAAAATGGAAAAATGTTTTTGTAATAAAATGAAGTGTTCAATAATAAAATAATTGTGTCTGAAGTTGTGAGCGATGTGTGATTGGTACGTTTACCATTTTTTTTTTACGATAATCATTATAATATGGTCCTTCAACATACAACTTTAAAATTTTCTTGGCTATTGGAATTGTTCCAATCTGGAATAGAAAAGTAAATGTAGTGAGAAGGGCGAATCGAAGATGTGACTAGGAAAAGTTGTTCGTTTAAAAATATTATTTGAGTTTTAAAACCTATTATCAATTTTGTTTTATGTAAAATAATTTTTTTACAAATTATTATTTTTTTGTTTCAATAGAAATATGCTTTTCTCTAAATTTGCTACAAAAAAGTGTTAAATAATGTACATTTGATATCGTATCTACTATATACAGGAGAAGTGTCATTTAATATTATATTTTAAAGGGCTAAAATCTTTGTGATCTAGCAAGTTATTCACTTATGGCCCATTGAATAGTATCTAATCAGATGTCTGTGTAGTGTTTTAGGTAAAATAAGTTAGTAGAGATTGATTTCTCCTATTTTCTATATATTGTAGTGCTGAACAGTTGGATAAAGAGAAGCAAGCTGCAGCAAAAAGCCCACCAGCAAGAAGTCCCCCGGCAAGAAGAGTTCAAGCACGATCTAGTAATGAGTCACCTGGTTGGTTCTGGGGCTGGAATTGGAATTGGGGCTGGGATTGGGGCTGGGTCTCGGGCTGGGCAGGGGACGGCAAAAATTGGTTCCCCATCCTAGGAGGTGCAACTTTGTTAGCATTAATGGCTTTTTTTTGTACAAAAACATGGGCAAAATGAAGACATTGGGTCGGAAAACCAGTTCTTGCTCGACTATGCCTGTTAAAAGACAGGTATGTCTGTTGTTTTGTAATATTTTTATTTGTTACTAATTCAGAACTAGTTACAGTTACAAATATTAGTAATGACATTCATAATTCATTTAATATTTTTTGATAAAATTTACATTTTTTTATTTTACAAAACTGTTCTAATTTCAGCCACCTAAACCTGAAAAGTTCAAACCCTGTAAATGTGAAGAATGAAAATTGAATAGTATTTTTTTTAACACTTTCCTTCCTTTAACAAATAACATGTAATATCTGTTCTTTAGTACATATTCCTTTTTCGTGAAAATAAAACACAGATGGAAACAAAATATATTTATTAATACCACCTTTCATTTACAAATTAGTCTCAACTGCCTCATACGGCCTAACAACTATTGCAAGTCCGGGTTCAAACACAACCTATAACAATGTCTTACATTAGTGCCTTAAAACAAGGAACAATAGTTAATGTACAACTTATTTATATGAAAAAAAAAACCACAAGTGACTTAGTTGGCTCTTCAAAGGAAAGACAAGATATATAAAAAAGTAATAAAATGTCCAAAATTATTTGAATATCATCACATCTTATATGTATAAGAAATATGTTGTAAAACAATTTATATAAAGATATATAATAATATAAAGCGATTACATAGATTATTAGAAAAAAAAATGATAGAAATGATTTAGAAATCACACACAGAACCAGACTGGATCACTTGTGAGTTTTCTATGGAATAATAATAAAAAATAACTAGATCTTAATGTTACCATTGATATGCTTATTGCAGTGTAACTCTGATATACATTTTAAATTAGCATCGGACAAAGTCACACAAGCTATGTCTTTGAGAGAATTATACATTTATATAGCTCACAAACTCAATGAAGTCTCATTGGCAAAACACAGAACATTCTTTCAAAGACATAGCGTCAGTCAAGTGAACTATTGCACTAAAAACTATCGGCGTATTTTAAACAGGTACATTTGACAAATATATTTATATAAATGAAGTGAACGAGGGCTGAATAAAATTATAGAAATCATTCAACTGTTCAGTGGAAAATAAGGATTGCACTGACATATATTGATTCATTAATTTTATTTATAACCAAACAGTTCTTTATAATAAAATGATTATTTTTTTTAAGTCGACTAGACACGAAACTCTAAATACATACAATATAATCCGACATCGCTCGCTCTGGACGGATAAACAATTGCTCTTATATAAAAAAATAAAAAACAAAATGTCGTCAATACTAATAGTGTTCAATCGTGTATATTTAGAACTAAACCGAATGACACTCATAAATTTCACTGGTCACTGTTTTTCATTATTTTTCCTTGTTTCAACGACCTAATATTTATAGTTTTCCATATCTTCGTTTCTATTTGGCACTGATATTATTTCGTTTTCTATAATAATAGGAGTTTTCATCAATCGTTTTATTTACAATGAAGTCTATACCCTGATGATGTATACTGTCCGCTTTATTACATGCACATTTACAAAAATATATTAATTGTTACATTAAAACCGATTATTCTGACAAGTCGTTTGTAATGACAGATCTCAACTAAATGACATCTGTGGGAGTTAATTTAAGACAGAATACGTAACTTGTCAAAATAATCAATATAATCTAAATAATTTTTCTCACACATCCTTTGGATATATTTGACACATAATTTGTATTGATTTGTAAACATCTCTATTGTTTTTGGCATTTTTTATCGGTCTGGTCCTTAGGCAGGGTAGGCTTCAATTATTTCCGTGACGTCATATTATGTAAATAATTTAATCTCGTTCTAAAGACGGAGTCCCAAGCTCTCTCAGTCTGATAGGAGACGAGTCGTGTATAATTTTATAATTTATAATTTAGTTTAAGGACGTACTCGACCCGCGACAGTAAAGTATAGTATAGTATACAAGTAGCGATGGATTTTATCACGCAATAAATAATTGGTATATGAAAAGATTTTAATAAGAAATAAAAAGAAATATGTCTCTATCGATCTGAAGTACGTATCATAATATTTACATTCAGTGACCGAGCGGAGCGGGCCACTGCGACGGTTCAAACTTATACATAACACGAAAAGTTATTTACAAACTTATATAGACCGGCAAGTAACGATATAATACTGTATACAAAACATAAATATGTAAAAGAAATTAGTCTAAACGTATTCACATAACTAGTCGAGTCAGGGTCACCGGTAGATGGAGCTGCGGCGCTCGAGGTCGTGCGGGCGGCGCTAGGAGCGGCGGTCGAACAGAGGCAGCTTGGAGCGGACCGCGCCCTCGCACACGGTGAGGCGCCGCCCGTCCAGCACCACCAGCCGGCCGCCCGCCCCACGCTCACAGCGGAACTCCGCGCCCTTACGCTCGAAGTACTCCACGATCTTGGCGATCTGAGCCGAGCGGCCGTGACGCGGCGCGCGCTCGTCGTACACGCCGTCCGACCCCAGGGACGCCACGTCCTCCGAGCTGTCCGTGTACACGCTGGACGAGCGCTGGGCGCACAGCAGGTGCGCGGGCAGCGAGGCCAGCGCGCGCTCACACGGGCCGCGCCGCACGCAGCAGCAGCGCGCCAGCACGTGCAGCTCGCGCTCCTCCGAGCGGCAGTCCCCAGCCTCACACAGCACGCCCGCCCAGCCCTCGCCGTCCGCCTCCTCCGCGTCGTCGAGGCTCCTCAGCGAGCTGACGGTGGTGGACAGGGCGGAGTCGTCGGGCGGCGCGGGCGGGCGGCGCCGCAGCAGCCGGTCATACGCTAGCAGGCAGTCCGCGCAGGCCCGCGGGCGCGCGCGCTCCTGGTCGGAGTCGTCGTCGGCGGCGGACTGTACAGACAGGTCGCGGCGCCACCACCAGCAGCGGTGACAGCCGACCAGGGCGCACGGACACACGGCGCCGCGCGGGGACGGCGCGCACAGGTCCTCGTTGGCCACCGAGAAGATGCCGCTCTCGCACGAGCCGCGCCGCCGCAGCTCCGGGCACTCGTTCCTGGCGGGCGCGGGCTCGGCGGACGGGGCGCGGCGCGCGGACACCGGGGACGGCGGCAGGGAGGCGCGGCGGGGCTCGGGGGCGGCGGGCGGCGCGGGGGGTGCGTCCCCCGACGAGCAGCGGCCGGCCGGCGCATGCTCCAGGATCTTGTGCACCCCGCGGAAGGTGTGCAGCGCGCGGCGGGCGGGGGTGGGCGCCGCGTGCGTATCTCTCAGCAGCATGATGTGCGCCAGCCGGTGTAGGCGGGCGAGGCGGGGCGGGGCGGGCGGGGTGGGCGGCGCGCCCGCCAGTGCGGAGGCCGAGCGGTGTGGGGGCGCCGCGCCGCAGCCCCCGCCCCCGCGCCAGGCCCACTCCAGCTCCGACAGTGACCGTCGGTGAGCAGCGCCCTCTGTGGATACAATTCACCATTAGTACGTATTGGGTTGTGTGTGTGTGTTTGTGTAGTCATGTATTCGTGTGTTATCTGTTTTAATGTATATCTGTTAACTGTCACTGTGCTTGTGAGTCGTGTTCCAATGCCCACTTCTTCTAAGTCTCCAGTATACTACCAACGTTACCTCATCTGGTTTTATTAATTTACCCACGGTGACTAGTGTATAATTTCCCACAGAAGAGAAACGACTCGATACTAAACTGTATAAATTATTCTGAGACCATAAAGGAGATCATTCTTTTTGGGCCTTTTTTAAAAGTGCCGGCCAACAAAAAAAAAATGGTACATATTTGTAGAAATAACCATTTGGAACAATAGTTAATATGGCGCAAAAGTTGTAGGATCCAAGATATAGAAGTTATACAAGTTTCAAGATTCATCATTTTGGTACTTTATTTTTTTCTGAAAGTGCCAGGAAACATAAAATAATGATTGATATTGCTAGAGTTAAGCTTCTCAAGCAAATCATAGCCATAATCTGTTAGAACCTGTCGTTTTTATGTAATACTAGCGAACCCGACAGACGTTGTTCCGCCAAGTATCTGAACGCATGCAACACATTTCTTGATGATTTTATTATTTGTCTAACCTAATATGTATATCGGGGTGCCATTTTTATATATTAAAAAATGGGCCTAGAAGCACTTTTAACTGATTTTGTACCATTTCATGTCGGATTTGATCATATGACGCGAGAGCAAGTGGCGCAGAGGAACCTCATTGTGCCAGAGCGATAATTTGGTAATCCTGATAGTCCGATTGAAGAAAGAAAGGCCATCTCTATACTTGATGGCACTTACATATATTTACGGAAGAGCACTAATTTCTTTTTTCAAAGAAAATCTTATAGCAACCATAACTTTCGAAATCTTTTAAAGCCTTTTTTAAATATTTGTTGCAATGGAACCATAATAGCGGTAGATGGCCTATCGCTGCAACAACCTCCGATGCCCAGATTTTAAATGATGCACTGAATAATGTATTTCACTGGTTTTACCGGCCTGGTGACATTTTTATATTAGACCGTGGTTTTAGAGATGCTATAGAAAATCTGGAGTCATGCGGTTATGTACATGCTCTGCGCCACTTGCTCTCGCGTCATATGATCAAATCCGACATGAAATGGTACAAAATCAGTTAAAAGTGCTTCTAGGCCCATTTTTTTAATATATAAAAATGGCACCCCGATATACATATTAGGTTAGACAAATAAAAAAATCATCAAGAAATGTGTTGCATGCGTTCAGATACTTGGCGGAACAACGTCTGTCGGGTTCGCTAGTATTACATAAAAACGACAAGTTTCTAACAGATTATGGCTATAATGCTTTGCTTGAGAAGCTTAACTCTAGCAATATTTTATGTTTTCTGGCACTTTCAGAAAAAAATAAAGTACCAAAATGATGAAACTTTTATAACTTCTATATCTTGGATCCTACAACTTTTGCGCCATATTAACTATTGTTCCAAATGGTTAGTTCTACAAATATGTACCATTTTTTTTTGTTGGCCGGCACTTTTAAAAAAGGCCCAAAAATATATGAAGCCTGAATGATCTCCTTTCCTAAGGTTTTTCATTTGAATTTCATTTAGCAGTATTAAAATGTTTCTTTAACATTCGTCGTATGTTTGTAAACTAAATCTGCAATTTGATATTTTTACCAGGTTATTGAAATTACTTGCATCAGTATTGAGGACAAAGATGAACAGTTTCATTAAAGGAATACACGGAGTTTTTATCCTTCTTTTTTCTAATTTGTTGCAAGTTCCTTACACTTGGGTGCTCCCTTTGCATTTTTTATGCTCAACTAGTTTTCAGGTATATCTGACTGAGTACAGATGTACTAATTTGTTGTATTCAAATTTTTGGTATTTTTAACGAACACCATCCAAATATGAATCTATCACGATTATTGTTGGGTCAAAGACACGATCTCACTAACAAAGTATAAACTTAAGTGGTATCATTTTTGGTAATTTGTCTGGTCGGTGTTTACCGAAGGAAGTTAGTTTCTTCATGGAAAAAGTTAACTTAATTCCCCCATTGAGAACAATATTTAGACTGAGTATAGCTTGTATTTTCATCTTAAGTCAAACGCCCCAATCGAATGACCCTAAGGTTAAATTTGAGCACCACGAGAGAATCTTTGCGTCATCAGATCATATCTATTGTGACGCACACTGTTTCTAATGCTAAGTGTTCATTGTATCTTTCTATGTTAATTGTTGATTTTCGCCAGAACCCGGAATTCATATTTGAGTCACGAGCTCACTGCAGAGAACTTGTCTTTAGTACAAAAGATTGCTATAGAGTATTGTGCTATTCAAGCGTGGGTTATATGTGTGGTTTCGACATGTATCGGAAGAGCTACACTGATTCTGAATTTCAAACTGGTTTTGCGTACATGACATCCTGGGCAAGAATATTTTGGCGCCCACTTGAAGAAATCAAAATCGAGTATTAATTTTTCCGAACCAATGTGAAAACTGAACGTGTATTAAGAATTCTATATTCCATCTACCATCTTTCCTTTAGCGTGACCCAGAGCTAACGACGTGGACGTAGAAAGTTATGTAGTTCCTATTTTTTTTTGTTATAAGTATCCTACCTTCATTAATCACCCCCAAATTACACACCCACCCCTAACGCCGGCGGTGCATGTGTGTCTGTGCGTGTGTGTGTGTGTCTCTGTGTGCGTGTGTGTGTGTCTCTGTGTGCGTGTGTGTGTGCGTGTGTCATACTCACTGTCGCTCCTGTGCGTGTGTGTGTGCGGTCGTCGCCAGGCGCTAAGTCCCGGACATGACCGTGGTCCGGAGCAGTCATAGTCATCACTGGCCCCCGACCCGCTCCCGCTGCTCGTGTCAAACGCCGCATCCTCCATCCCCTCCTTAACTTCCTTCAACTTGCTCACTATCTCGGTGAACAACGGACGCGCTTTAGGCTCGTACTGGAATATTAAATATTACTCACAAACTACCCACATAATATCATTAGCTATGACTAGGGCCCGGATAAATATGTATTAAAAAATCTAAAATATGTACATAAAATATGGACGAAAAAATCAAAAATATGGAAAAAATATGGAGTATAAAAAAAATATTTTCATAATTAAACATTGTTTTACTGTAAGAAAAGGGTCACTCGTGACGTACATCGTTAAGTTACATTTAAAAAACGTTGAAAAGAAATAGCGAAATATTTATTTCAACAAAAAATAACAGTTTTATTCAACTTCCATTGCACTAGCCTTATCAAATTGGTTGCAATACACAATGACGTGCTTCTTGAAATTATCAAAATGAAAACTGACCATTTGGTTGAAATATAGCCTAATATCTGATGAATGATCTCTCCACGTCACATGACGTGATCGATGCATACTTAAAACATACTTAATTCAGTAATTGTGTAAGCCATGTCTACAGCCCTCGAAACTTTCGCTCAGAATATTATTTTTTTTAGCGTATTAATCCTTTATTTTTATCGAAAACATTAGTGGCGGGAACGTAAATTTTATCTATTTTTGTGAATATATGGAAGATTGTGATATTTTCTTGTAAAATATGGACTTAACTTTGAAATATGGTAAAATATGGAAAATAAAAGTTGGTTTTTCAGTCTAAATATGACAATCCATGTAGAAAACACATTCTAGACCGAAAATCGCGTAAATTAAAAATATGTATTTACATATTAAGCCGGGCCCTAGCTATGACAAATAGTAGGTGAGAGTGCAAATTCACGTAAATACTATTGGATAATTCCGTGTATCTGCATTGGACGCAGATTATAAGAAGAAAGTTTGAGCTGAAATATTTTCTATATTAACGACTTTTAAGGTAATTTTTTCGCAATCCCTACTAATCTTTACTAATATTATAAATGCGAAAGAAACTCTGTCTGTTTGTTTGTCTGTTACGCCTTCACACCTAAACCACTGAACGGATTTTAATGAAATTTGGTACAGAGATAGAGTGGACTTTGAGAAAGAACATAGGACAGTTTTTATTCCAGACAATTGAAAGGTTCTCTTGGAAACGCGATATAACCGAACTCCACGTGGGCGAAGCTGCGGACGGGAAGCTAGGAAGAAGGAAGTAATAAATGAAACGCTAAATAATTAGGATATATATATATATATATATATATATATATATATATAATATACTTACAATGCAACAGTTGAAAGCTAGCCTCAGGAAGTCTGGCACGGTGTCTTCGTCACATAGTTCTACAAAGGCCATGTAGTTGAGACCGAAGTTGTCCGTGCGAGGCAACACGTCTGGGTCGGCGTCAACCTGGAGCCACGAACACACGAACATATAGTTAGATGACAATACAAACCATTAATTGCATCCCCTAAGAGGGTTGATGTCAGGCAGGCGGCCGGTAGTAAAAACAATAAGCCAAAAACTATTCACAACATGCAAGGCAGACCCTGGCTAGAGCTGGGAAATTTCCAGGAAGAAGAAGACAAACCATAATAAGACTAAACACCAGACTCTGATAATTAACATGTGGCACCAGCATAATAGAATACACAATAAAAGCACACCCATACAAGCATGCATAGCTACATACTCAAACACACCCACACACACACATATTCACGCACGTACACTGTACACGTCACACACACACACACTATCACAGTAATGTATCTCACCCTGGCGATCAGCTGACACAGTATGATCCCGTAGGAGAAGATGTCCGACCGGTTGTCGTACCAGCGGCCGCGGAGACACTCGGGCGACATCCACCACGGAGAACCCACGCTCGGCAGGCGGTAACCGTTACTGGAATAAGTAATATACACGTTGGAACAACTATATCTATTATATACAGTCCATATATATTGCTAAAAAAATCTACGAAGAATACTAGTGATGTCGCATTCAACACGCTAGATGGCGTTGAAGTTTGAGCCGAATTATTATATACTTTTTTTGTAAATATTTTTACGGCTCTGGATTCCAGTAATTTTGAGCATTTTTTATGTACTATCTATTCAGTGTAGCCTGATGTTTAATAACGATAGTCGAATATATTTGTATATAAAACCATAACTTGACGGTTTTATATGGTGAATATGTTTTATATTCTTGGATTATGGTATATACTTACAGTGGATGCGGTATTTTCGCCGCTAGACCGAAGTCAGCGACAACGGCTGTGTATTCACCGTCGTACCTCTTCTTTAATAATACGTTCTGAAATCAGTTAATCAAAAAAATTGTAACACTTTTATATTATTATCATATTTATAATCATTTGTTAGATAAATGTGAATGATAATTTTCCGAGAAATTAATTCACTGTAATGAAATTAGTAATACTAGTAAGTAATATTGCATAGCCATTATGAGACATACATTTCTATCGAGCAATATATTAGCTAACTTAAGTCGGTGGTGACTTAGTGGTTAAAAAACTCGCCTCTCATGCATGAGGGCGCGGGTTCGATCCTGGCAAGTACCAATGTCATTTTTCTGAATCATATGTACTTTCTAAGAATATTTATACATAACTGATTAATGCATTCCCAAAAAGGGGTTGATGTCAGGCAGGCCGCCGGTCGTAAAAACCATTAGCCAAAACTATTCACAACATGTAAGGCAGACCCTGGCTAAAGCTGGGAAATTGCTAGGTAGCAGAATATATTAGCTAACTATTGAATATATCTGGTGATTAATATTCTTGTACCAAGTGTATGCTCACCTTAGCAGTAAGATCCCTATGGAAGACTCCTAGTGAGTGAAGGTACATCAGCCCCTCGGCCATATCAGCTGCCAGTGATATCCTCAAGGACTGCGGCAGTGGTTCAGGAGGCAGACCCAGTATGAGCTGCTCCAGCGACCCTCCCTCCATGTATTCAGTCAGAGCATGTAATTGACCTTCGTGTACACACACACCCATAAATCTGTAAAGAGTATATGAATCATATATCAAATCACTATATAATATATAGAAGCCGTGGTGTCTTAGTGGTTAAAAGGCACGCCTCTCGTGCATGAGGGCGCGTGTTCGAAATCTGGCAAGTATCAATGTAATTTTTCCGAGTCATATGTACTTTCTAAGAGTATTTAGCGCCATTGATAAACGTTGTAGGAAAACATCGTGAGGAAACCTGGACTTATAAATTCAAATTGTAAGTTTAAAATCACAGTGATTAATGCTCAAATCCTCTCCATGTGAGAATTGCCCTTTGCTCAGAAGTGGGCTCTGATAGGCTGATGATGATGATATATATATTATACATATGTTAGTGATTTCACCCTCAATTATATCTGCCTATCTGGACTATTGCATAATTGGGTTTTTAATTAATATGTGCTTAAAACAAAACACATACTCGTATACGGCAACGAACCGTCAACGCCATCTATCACATACAAAATAAAACTGTTCTCACGTGTTAAAAATAGTTTTCAAGAATCAAAAATGAGGTATGTATTTGTGTTTAAGTTTCCCCACGACATTTCTGATAACTTATATTGTGTTGAATTTTGTAAAAAATCATTTCATAATATTTCTTTTTGAAGAACTTATACTAAGAGCAACGTTCGTAGAGCTTTACAATACTTCATATTTAGTACTTCAGAGTTCAGTGCGATATTCAAATTAATCATATTTTACATCAAATAGCATATGTACGCAATTTTTGTAACTTTATCTCTAGTAAATTATTCGCATGAGATAAATAAAAAGCTATTAAGAACAAATATCCGCAAGATGTTTAGGATATTTACGAAAAAAATATGAGCCAGTATATTACGAATGAGGAGTGGCGCTGTCGTACCGAGCGAGGGTACTTGTAATAGCGTAACCACAGTTATAGAAAACGCGAGGGAAGTCACTCGCAGGAACAATTCGTCACTTGAGACTACATTCAGGACACATTTTTGAGGAGAGATTCTTTTGTCACCAATAAACAGTGCGGGTGAAGTGGCTGGAGTGAACTCGGAACAAAAATAACAGAGTTACAACAGTACGAGGCGTTATGAAGATTATTTTAGGAATATATTTACACAAAGGACTGACGGTTGAGATAAAGAGATCATACAATAACGAGGTAACGCTTGTAGAATGTAGAGGGGTATAAAAACGTCAGTATCGGGCGATTAATATACATTATAAATTAAGAATTCACGTGTAATAAACTAAATGTAACAAACGCTGCAAAGAATGAAATAAGTGCTTTGAAATAACACGCGAAGACGTTCACACAGATGGTGAAAGTGTACCCTTCCTAGGAAGTTAAAACGGAGAAACCATTGTTATCTTATCAAGTAAGAAAGCATACTGATGGAACAGTTACCAGGCACGCGTTAGACAACTATAATTGTATGCAATTTATCAATCAGGTACCTATGCGAATATGCGCGTTAATAAAACGTAGGTTTCCAAGTCAAGGAACGCGACCGACAATTAATAAGAAAAATATGTGTAATACAGAAAAAAACACGGGCCGTTGGCTCCGTTATTATTTTAACAGTTACAAAACAAGTGTTATTTTTTTTTTCAACAAACTTCATGCACTACATAGATGATATAATACGCGGAACAAAATGAGAACTTCTCAACAATTGCATCAACTTACGAATGTTATAGCAACAAAAATCGGATTACGGATTATATGTAATTAATTAAAATATAATAAACATGACATTTAATATTTAAATCATGAGTTTTGGCCGTCATGTATTCTCCAAGACTCGGCGGCATGAGTTTCATTGTTAATTTAATTTCCGATTACAAACCTTAAAGTAAATAATACTTTCGTGTCAAAGCCATTGTTATATATATTTTTTGATTTCATAACAATCATTGCTCAATAAATGTTCAAAGTGAATGTATGACTTGTTGACCCGCGATGTTTCATACATTGACAGAGGTGAATTCCGCCTTACTGACTCTTATTTATTACGAACTGATGTAACACTGCTAAATTATAAATGATTTTAAAATATGTATTCAACCTTATTCTTTGTTAGTTTTAAGTTTATTTTGTTCTTATTCTAATGATAATGCGTCAATATAAAAATCTCAATTTTCACCCAATTTGAACAATATTTTAGTATTTAAGATGATTAATTACTCTTTTATTAATGAGCATTAATTTCGTAACACTATTCTTCTGTGGTGTCTTAATAACGAAACAATGACATATGTGATCGGGTTCAATGACCGACACGGATCATAAAAAAAATTACGAATTGTGAATTCTACAGCCAAATATCGCGCTAAAACTTGAAAAATATATCTTATCTAATATTTTGTATGCTTTGTTTCATTCGTTTATAATAAAGGTTTATTTAAATGAAAACATCTACAGTTAATGTTGAAGACAAAATTAAATTGATCGTAGTTTTTAGTAACAAATAGTATTGATATTAATTAATTATAATAAAGAGTACGTATGGACATTATTTATGATACTTGTAGCGTCATTTAGGGGCTATCCATAAATAAGTCACACATTAATGGGAAGAGAGGGTAGCACTGAAGTGTGACATCGTGTGATAAGGGGAAAAGGGGGGATCGTTTTGGGGATATCACATTCTAAAATTTTAAATAGGAACACGAAAAGTTTGGATGTGGATTGAAAATAAAAAAGTTACATACTTGATCTATATTTAGGCATAATTTAGCATTCTCGCTGAGATAATTTTGAAATGTTTGACTTTATGTTGATTTTTTTACATTATTATTTAATATAAATAAGGTAAGAAATGAAAGTAGCCATTTTCTCTAAATTATTTTCGAATATGAACAGAAATTAAAAAAATGTATGACGTCACACCAGGAGGGGGGGGGGGGGTTAAAAGTCCTAAAATTCGTGTGAAGTACTTTATGAATAGCCTCTTAACATAGGTCGTAAGTAAGAGATATGTAGTTTATTTGTTATAGGTGAATATTGTCCTTACCCTAATATATTAGGATGTTTCAGTTTATTCATGAGCTGGACTTCCCTCAGCATGTTGTTCCTGTTCGCTCGCTGCTGGTTCATCTTCAATACCATCACCTTACCTGATGTCTTGTGGGTCACCTGGAAACAGATACAGTCATATGAAAAACTTGTATTGGTAGAAATGTTATTCACAAACCCACACACACACATATATATATGTATATACATATAAGGTCCCCTTAAACCTACACCTGGGTCGCAAGTCCCAGTCACTGTTGAAGCTCCTCTCCCTACAACGATAGACCCAGCACCCGCAAGGTGAATGATGAGAGGTTTCTTCTCTAATAATATGTACATGCGTATCATCGCCTGAACGTTTGTTTGTAATTCAACAAAAGATATATTATATTTATTTCAGACATAACCGCGGCGTGTAACTAGTTTCATCACCGTACAGTGTACACATACGTACATTTTAAATGTTATCAGTAGTCTTTGTTCGTGAGGGCGTGCTTCTATTTTTACTCCAGCGATAGTCTGCAAGGTCAATGTCGAACAATCGTCGGTTACCAAACAAACAGACGGATATATAAACATATATATATATATATATATATATATATATATGTGTTTCTCAAACAGCTGACTGTGACACTATCCGTATACTATAGAACAAAGATAGCTTGTCATTAACAGATCGAAATCTATCTTCCTTTACATTAAAATCGATATTAATTATAATTAACTTTAACATAAGAGTTAAAATAAGAAAACAGTTTTTGACTAATTCTATACAAATAAATATTAAATACTTAATAGAATATTCGAGATTTTATGATTAAAAAAATATAATTTTATGTTAATATTGAATATATTCAAATTATAGGTACTATTTTAATACAATTTTATCTATAGATAGATTAGATTAAGATCGATTAACATTATAGTCTAGACTCGATGTACTTTCACGTACATTGATTAATATAATATATCATATACATAGTTACATTATATACATACATACAACTTTACATATTTCACAACTATCACATGTTTCGAATGTCTTAACCGATAATAATATAAATAAATACGGCTGTGACAACACACATACATACACACACACACACACACACACACACACACACACATACATACATACACACACACACACATACATACATACACACACACACACACATACATACACACACATACATACACACACACACACATACATAAAGAAAAGACAGCGTTTCAATATCGTCAAGGTCGACTTATGAAATTTCACTACGAAAACATTCCTTAAAAAAATATATATGTATAATCACCTGTCAAATTATATATGTTAATTACATAAGGATATTATTTATATTACTTTAATAATAACGAAAAAATAATGTATACATATGAAATATTTAATATGTGTTTACCATTATTTTAGACCATTCATTGAATAAAAATAAAGTTAAAATTTTTTCGTTTAATTATTATTATAGATTCACATTTCATTTAGAACCAAGCAAATTTGAGAGAAAAATCTAATGTTACTATATTATTTATTATATGGCAGGCCCTGGCTAAAGCTGGGAAATTGCCAGAAAGAAGAAGAATTATTATAATATATGCTGTTTTTATTAATTTTATTAATCTAATAATTGGATTTGAGCAACAATATTTCCTAATCTATGGAGGAAGTATTCTCAGATTCCTGTACGGAATACAACGACCGTTAGTTAAGTATTTATAATTCATCTGTATATAAGATCGGCCTACATTACAGACGGCACTCGGTTAACTGTGGTGGTTGGCTTGCGAAACTACCATTCACACCAGACAGAGGTATGGCAATCTCACACCCACTCTTGTTACACTCAACTGTGCAATATTGAGATTTTAGTAACAACTTTTTATATAAACTAATAAAGATGAGTTTAAAATTATGTTACGTAAAAAAAATAATTCGTTGTATGAATAAAATATATAACGAGTGACGCTGCTGACTCCGCGGAACGAACACCAAGCGTGTGAACCAGAAGATTCCTGATACACACAAGCTATGGAATGGCATTGCTATCCTAACATCGGGTCAATCATGTAGTCTTAGGTGTAGGTTATAGATTTTAATATGTAATTCTTATTATAATATACATATGAGTAAGTTTCGTAGTATTCCTTAAACCTCTGGTTGCACCCTACATATTAGCACATAAAAAAAACAGTAAAACTATCTCAGTGTCTTCATAGCACGGTATATTTGAAGTGATCTTGACATCAAAAGCATCTTGGACTCGCCAGCCTATTAGCTAGAGTGTCTCAGTGTGTGAAGCACATGGTACGTTGGAAAAATGAAAAAATATTTTTTATAATTTCAAACAAAGACAGGTGATAGAATAGTTTAAATATATCCTTCTAATATTAACAGTATACAACCTTACCGTGAATTTCAATCGTAAAAACAAACGATGAGTTTCTATTTGTTATTTATAAATCGTTTGTATAAGAATCGTAAACGATCAAACGGTCGGTTTTCAGTTTGATGTGAACTTGTATTAAGGTTACAGTGTCTGTATGAAATAAAGTTGCTGCAGTGTACAGATAACGTCAAACCAGCGAGCGACACTATATAAATGTATGTAACAAAACATAACTCAAGATAAAATAACTTTTTATATAAAAAATATATACGTATGCTACTTTATATAAATGCTATTTTTACGTACGATATAAATTGTTCTCAATAACATTTTTATTTGACATTTAATTAAAAATATTTCGAAATATCTTATTGGTGCAAACGAAACCAAATTCGTGCGTTTTCTTTGCACTGTTTTTCAATACTATTTTATGGTTTCAGTACAATTTATTTGTTAATTGTAATATATTTTTATATATGTTATTTATAGACGATCTGTTCGTCAGGATGCTGCATCTATTTCTAAGAGACTGCTTTAAGATCAAGCAATACTCGTATATCTTCTTAATCACAGTGACGATTGATTCAATTAATTCCGCCTTTGTTGTTATAACACTTATCTTTATTGGTGAGTCGTTATAAAAAACAATTACACACACACACACACACAGACGTATAGAGATATGTGTAAGTGTGTGCGTATAAGTATATATTTTATTATATACATATAGGAACTATAGAACACAATCCTTATAATCTTTTTGAGACGTATCGTTAAAATTAATACGATAATTTCTTTTAATATAATATTATTATACTTACTATGTAATGAAACTTAATTTTTTTTATCAGAATTTTGCTTCTTGAAATTAAATTTGATAATTAATTTATCAATTTAAATGATAATTATAAATAAATGCATTGACGTACATATATAAAATGAAACTTTTTAAATTTGTGATAACAAAATGAATATATTCATATACAGAGTACATAATACTATATATATATATACATCGGCCAGTACATGAGTCACCAGTTATCATTACGATAAGAGCGTCATACATCACGACTGATACGCCAATTTGTTCCCATGTCTAATTCAATAGTAACAATATACTTAGCATATTATATAAAAGAAAATGATTTGACAAAAATATCCTTTATCATTATAGAACGAATATGTAACAAACGATGTATTTATAAGAAATAATATTTGTATAGAATACATACGAAGAGTTTCCTGTTTTTGTTTCAGTAACGCACTATGATAGTATAATGTACTAAGATTATAATGTACTAAGATTTGATGATGAACTGTTTACTCTGCGTGCGTAGTGTAACTACGAAAACTCGTTATAAGGATATCTATTGAATTTATTATGTATGTATGTACAAAATTGGCTAGAGTATAAAAAATATATAGTATATATATTAATGCAGTTCCAATGTAAATATTATATGAGAATAGCAACGAGTATCGGAGGCACGTTCCCATACTGTCCATAATAGTAATCTCAATAGATTCGCTCGCGTGAGAGTGAATGACCTCACTGAGTCTCTTATAGGGTGCCCGAGGAACTATGGGGCTTATGGTGTTATATACACACTATTATTATACTATATCAAACACTATATTTTATAGTTTCTTCTTCTACCTGGCAATTTCCCAGCTTTAGCCAGGGTCTGCTATATATATTGTGAATAGTTTTTGGCTAATTGTTTTTACGACCTGCCTGATATCAATCCTCTTTAGGAATGCATTAATCAGTGATGTCTAAATACTCTCAGAAAGTACATATGACTGGGAAAAATCACATTGGTACTCGCCAGAATCGAACCCGCGCCTTCATGCATGAGAGGCGGACCTTTTAACCACTAGGCCACCAATGACTTAATTATACTTTATAGTTTAAATGTACTTATTTAATAATATTCTAAGGCTTTAAAGTCCATTCCCACTCACCAATCTTTTACATACTTAATAATATGTAGCTACAAGCTTATCTCTAGATATCAGAACATTTTTTCACTATCTTATACTAATAAATTACTTAAATGGGTTACAGAAGTGATAATAAAAATATTTTTTAATACGCTTTACTGAAAATATCTTTTATATGAGTGAAAAAATCTCCACTAATGATGGATAAATTCGACCAAATACTATGTATATCTGACTGTATTGTCGAGTCGTGACTCACAAAATTTTACGACAAAACCATTTACGTGTTGTTACAAGACACGTGCTCGTTGTGAGTAGTTTGAATTATATTAAACGAGAATATACTAAACAATTGAAACAGTTTATATGTATGGAGATAAAAAATATTTTAAAAGATTCAGTCACAATTTAAGAGTACTTAATGCTTTGATTATTTCTACTTACATATTTGCAATAAAAATTTTTTTTTACTAAACATATTGCAAATATATACAAATAGATATATTTTCTCCATTAGTCTGTTAGTGTCATGTAATCTATGAAACGGCTGGACTTAAATTGATGAGATTTTACTTGCAGATAACTGATATGATAAGGAGGACGGACTGCTTTTATTTCAACTATTTTTGTTTATTTTTATTTAAAAAAAATGTAAAGGCTTTATCACGGGGACAAAGCCGCGGACTCTGAGTTTATTATGAACCAAGTTAGTGAATTGTTTACCAAAGGTCATTGAACTCTAGCTATGACGTCATAACAATTAACATATTTGACATTGAGTGAGGCGAGAAGATTCGTCAATGTACCTACTGACTTTGGTTGATATATTATGTACACATGTATGTGTGTGTTTAAAGTGTATTAGTGTATGTAATTAGTATAATAATTTTTTTACTTAGCGTTTACTTGAACTTGAAGCGTTTTGCATTGATTCAGAATTCATAATATTATGATAATAAAAATAGTAAATTAAATAGAACCGCGAATTAATCGTCACTTAACAATTATACTGGAAAGTATAAAGCACTTTATTTAGTAATCATTAGCGTTATGTACTTTATTTTGAAAAAGGCTTTATATTCTTCCACTGATGAGCTAATATTAACCAAACAGCCC